GCGGTAGAAGTCTCAACGCGTTTGCTCGATCATAACAGTAAAGTAAGTAAACAATCCTAAGCCGGAAGTTGATTCGGTTCGCTGAAGGGCTGTGTCAACAGGTTCTGTGGTAGATTGCTTTTGATTACATACGACAAGCTGTGACTGTTCCACATTTACTGTGAGAGCGTTGTTCAATCCATACAGAAACTAAGGCGTTACCCTTCCTGAGCAGACATTCTCTGATAGCAATCTCCAGAGAATTTTTTCCTGTGCTGCTTGTATGCAGCACTAAGCGGTATTCCGTGGAGTGATTGCGGTAGGAAACAAGCGGTTGTAACCTCTACCCATCAGGTCATGCAAAGTGGCCTACTAGCGCGTGTGAACTAAAGTTCTGATTACGCATGTATGAACTGGACAGTTTTTAAGAACTGACGCTGACAGGGTATAGTTTTAGATCATAAATAATCTGTAGTAGCGCATGCCATTGGTGAATGCTATGTCCCGCCAAATTAAGTGAGTTAACTTATAGAACACATACGTAGATGATTCCATAATCCCGGAGGAGTCTGGGTATGTTACCTATGCTGATGGTACAATCGCGACAACATTTTTTAAATATAAGAATGATATAAGGTCTACGTACTCTGAATGGCTAAGACGGCAGCTCGTGGTCCAGTAAGCCGTGTCAAATATTAGATCATTTAAGATATACAGGGTTCCCGACAAAGGCAACTTTGGCGTAACTGTAGCACAAGGCCCGTTTTTAAAACAGTATCAAGGTGGAATGCTGCATACAGCTCGACCATGAGTAATCGAGAGTTTTGCTGAGAGCTACAGAAATATGGCTTAGTGTCTTCAAAATAGCCGCGTGGCAACTGTGGCGAGGAAGCTATCTCAGAAATTTATTTAAAACGGACGTGGAAGAACATAATTTCGGGAAAAGCGGGGTTTTAAATTTACGTTTGCACACTATGGCAGATAATATGCTGCTTGAAATAAGACCATTCTACGGTAGTCTGATCAACCCACGCAACGCTAAACACAGCCGGACTTCTGACGTGTGGGCCAATCAAAACCCCGAAGACGAGGAAGAGACAGTTCAGTAAATTCGCCAACTTTTTGGCCCACTAAAACAGTAAACACCTACAAGTGCTCGAGTCTAATTTATAGACCTGTAATAAGTTCAGCTGACACCTGAACTTTGTCCTTCTCAGCATTAAAAAACTACATGTGTAAATTGGACAAATTATTTCCGTGATTTTACCAGTTAATTTGCATCGCTTTCACTGGAAGCCTTCGTCGGGAAATGAATGGCTCAATCATGTAAACGCAGGTTCAACTTCTTTGGGAATTCCCATAGGCAGACCAAAGTGATTCTGAAGTTGTCTTTAATATC